TCTGGGGGCTCTGTCACCAGCAGTTACTATTGGAACTGAATCCACAAGCACCCTGGGAGAGCACTGGAGTGGATGGGCTACTGGACAGGTAGTACAAGCTACAACCCGGCTTTCCAGGGCCGCATCTCCATCACCACTGACACATCCAAGTAACAGTTCTCCCTGCAGCTGAGTTCCGTGACCACCGAGGACACAGCCGTGTATTACTGTTCTAGAGACACACTGAGTAGACATCAGTGTGAGCTCAGACACAAACATCCCTCCAGGGATACAGGAGGGGCAGGGCTGAAGGTGGCCCCAGAATCCACCAGGGGGTTCTCAGGACACCAGGGAGCTCTCAGGTCACAAGGGGAAACTCAGATCACTTTCCAGAGCTCAGGTCACGACAGGGTGCTCAAGAGACAGACCTCAACGTAAGACAGGAATCCATCAGAATCCTAGAGGAGAACATAGGCTGTAACCTCTTCGATATCAGCCACAGCAACTTCTTTCAAGGTATGTCTCCAAAGGCAAAGGAAACAAAAGCGAAAATGAACTTTTGGGACTTCATCAAGATCAAAAGCTTCTGCACAGCAAAGGAAACAGTCAACAAAACAAAAAGGCAACCCAAGGAATGGGAGAAGATATTTGAAAATGACAGTACAGACAAAAGGTAGATATCCCGGATCTATAAAGAACTCCTCAAACTCAACACACACAAAACAGACAATCATATCAATAAATGGGCAGAAGATATGAACAGACACTTCTCCAATGAAGACATACAAATGGCTATCAGACACATGAAAAGAATGTTCATCATCACTAGCCATCAGGGAGATTCAAATGAAAACCACATTGAGATACCACCTTACACCAGTTAGAATAGCCAAAATTGGCAAGACAGGAAACAACATGTGTTGGAGAGGATGTGGCAAAAGGGGAACCCTCTTACACTGTTGGTGGGAATGCAAGTTGGTGCAGCCACTTTGGAAAACAGTGGGGAGATTCCTCAAGAAATTAAAAATAGTGCTTCCCTATGACACTGCTATTTCACTACTGGGTATTTACCCTAAAGATACAGATGGAGTGAAAAGAAGGGCCATCTGTACCCCAATGTTTATAGCAGCAATGGCCACAGTCGCCAAAATGTGGAAAAAAACAAGATGCCCTTCAGCGGACAAATGGATAAGGAAGAAGTGGTCCATATACACTATGGAGTATTATGCCTCCATCAGAAAAGATGAATATCCAATTTTTGTAGCAACATGGACGGGACTGGAAGAGATTATGCTGAGTGAAATAAGTCAAGCAGAGAGAGTCAATTATCATATGGTTTCACTTATTTGTGAAGCATATTTGTGGAGCATAACAAATAGCATGGAGGACAAGGGGAGATGGAGAAGAGAAGGGAGTTGAGGGAAATTGGAAGGGGAGGTGAACCATGAGAGACTATGGACTCTGAAAAACAATCTGAGGGTTTTTAAGGGGCTGGGGGTGAGAGGTTGGGGGAACCAGGTGGTGGGTATTAGAGAGGGCACGGATTGCATGGAGCACTGGGTGTGATGCAAAAACAATGAATACTGTTAGGCTGAAAAGAAATTAAAAAAAAAGAGAGAGAGAAGGGGCGCTCAGGACAGAAGGGGTACTCAGGTCACCATGGGGTGCTCAAGGCCCACCAATACCCTTTCCACACCAGAAGCAGGTGCAGGTGGAGATTCAACGTGTGTTTCCTGGCACAGTTTGGGGCTTCCTTTCCATAAACCAGTTTCCCCAATGAGACTTTCTAGAATTATGATTTGTTCTAAACGTTGGCTATAATAGGAGAAAACTGTATGTACATGCACAAAAGACAGGAAGTCACTTACACTTGATGAATCTTTTCCCTCAATTACAATTACGGACATTCTGATGTAAGTCTGCTAAGTTTGTAAAAGTTTCAGCTGGACTTAACAACACAGTATCACACAGCCCAGTGTACAAGATGTGAGCCAGGATCATCAAATTCATGCTGGACATCAGGTACAGGTCCACCATGAAGCCAATGCCAGAGAAGAATGGCCCCAGTGTGGGGGGTCATAGTGTGGACCACATGCTCACAGAATCTATTCAGCTGACATCATCCAGAGGCAGAGGACCTTAAACACGGTTGGTACAGGTGGTGAATCAGATGATATGATACACACTTACAAGAGACCATGAAATGTTAATCACCTCCATCATCGAAGTGTCTGTTGATTTCAGGGAATGCCTTCCCGCCAGAAATGCTTCAATAAACCTTAGAAAGGACGCGAAATCAGGAATTTTTTTTATTGTGATATTGTGAATTAGTGCTGGAAAATTCCATAGGGAACTGGAACATCAAGGGCACAGAATCTAGTCTTTCCTTGAGATTTCCCATATATGGAGCATGAGAAGATGGAGGAATGAGGCTTCTGGTGCCAGTAAAAAATCATCAGAAGATACATTGTCATGACTAATTCCATGCAACAACTACAAAAAGGAGTGAAAAGGAATATACATGATAAATAGGTGTAGAAGACCATCTGAGTCCCTTGAAAATATGAATGATAATATATAAGCAGACAATAATAAGAAGGCTATGAGTAGAGGACAAGTGTCTTACCCAGTGTCTCAGGTGAAAGCTGTCCACTTCCCAAGGTCACCGCAGGTTCTGATGGTCTTGTGAACCCTGTGGGCACACAGAGACTAGAAGCTTCAGCAGGATCCATGAGAATGCTCAGGTTGAAGTGCTGGTTGGGAGGAGCCTTCCACCTGCAGGGAATAACAAATTGATCCTTCAGTTACTGATATCAGCTCAATGTGTTTAATTTCTACCACCACTGCGTTGAAACCTAACACCAAGTTAATGGAATGAGTGGGCGGGGACTTAGGGAAGCACTTAGGTCAGGAGCCTGCAGTCTCATAATGGGATTAGGCCTCTTATACACCAGGACTGGGAAGGCTTTCTGCCCCTTGGCCCCCTGGGAGTTTACAGGGAAAGGACTGCCTAGGACGTGGGTTCTCTCCAGACAGCAAATCTGCCTGCACCTTGACATGGCACTTCCCAGACTCCAGAACTGTGAGAAATTTGTGTCTAAAGTTTAAAACCACCCAGTTCGTGTACATTGTTACACCAGCTGGAACACACGGAGACATTAGTGACGCATGAACCCACGCATTTTTTCTGGCATTTTCAGAGTTTGTGGCGGTGGTAACTGATGGGATTTGAGTCTTACCATCATTTTACAGAGTTGTGATATGCCTATTGCCGTGAGCTGTGCAGCTCAGTCACGGGACATAATGTTGTTACCCCATGTCCCCAAAATTAAACACAGGTTGTAGGTTTCTGTGACTCTCCATCTGATTGGGAGGGTCAGTTCCCCTTCACGTGCTCATTACTGGAAACCCTCAAGGCACATACATTACTTGCTTATCCTTTATCGTGTTGTTTATATGCAATCCTTTTTTGGTGTGTGTGATTTTTTTAAATTTCTTTTCAGTGTAACAGAATTCATTCTTTATGCACCACACCCAGTGCTCCATTCAATCCATGCCCTCCCTAATACCCACCACCTGGCTACCACAAACTCCCACCCTCCACCCCTTCAAAACCCTCAGGATGTTTTTCAGAGTCCATAGTCTCTCATGGTTCATCTCGCCTTCCAATTTCCCTCAACTCTCTTCTCCTCTCCACCTCCCCTTGTCCTCCATGCTATTTGTTATGCTCCACAAACAAGTGAAACCATATGATCATTGACTCTCTCTGCTTGACTTATTTCACTCAGCATAATCTCTTCCAGTCCCGTCCATGTTGCTACAAAAGTTGGGTATTCATCCTTTCTGATGGAGGCATAATACTCCATAGTGTATATGGATCACATCTTCCTTATCCATTCGTCTGCTGAAGGACATCTTGGTTCTTTCCACAGTTTGGCGACCGTGGCCATTGCTGCTATAAACATTGGGGTACAGATGGCCCTTCTTTTCACTACATCTGTATCTTTGGGGTAAATACCCAGTAGTGCAATTGCAGGGTCATAGGGTGTGTGGATGGGGCTTGAATCAAGTGGCTTCTTTCTGCTCCTTCAGATCTTCCTCTAGCTGGTGCTTCCAACTGCTGCCTTCAGAGCTGTCCGTCATTAAAACCAGTGGTTCCTGATACAGACAGCAACATGACTGTATCCACAAGGATTGATTCTGGGGCAAAGATGCCCCACAAAGAAAGTACATAGAGTACAATGACCCATTTATGAATTCTACAAAATTAAATCTAGTATAAGGTGACATGAGAAAGAACAATAGTTACGTGGGGACAGGATAAACAAGGGAAAGGGAAGGAGGAATTCCAGGAGTAATGCTTAAAATTTTAAGGAGAACTGGTACACTCACTGTCAGTAATGTTGACTGTGACACCTGTGTTTATCATATCACACACTCCGTATGTGGGCTGTTCATCTTGTGTCGAATATATACATCAAACTTATTATAGGTAATAACAAATGTGATCCTGGAGGAAAGCAGAGGGAATGGAATGTTACAGATATGAAAATACACCTACATGATACTGATTTACTCTGTATTTACGGTAAACTATAAAATAAGGAAAATCAATCCATCCCCATTAGAGGAGGGGTTCCACATGCCTCATAGCCTGATACTCTGTTCTGCAGATGATTCGGGGTCAAGGGCAGCAGCTCCTGTAGAGGTAGTACTCACCAAGTTCCTGGGGTCAATCCCACCCCATATGTGTTCATGGACACCTTACAAACCCAAGTATACACACTGGAAATTTATATAATGAAAAAAATTTTTTTTCAAAATTTGTCATTAGCACTAAATAGATTAAAGGCATTCCAACAGCTTGGATCACTGCCTCTCTGTAAGAATAGATCCCCAAGCTGAATATATAGCCTGAGGACATGCAAATAGGGCCTTCCCTCTGCTGATTTAACCAGCACAACCAAGATCCTGCAGCTGGGAGAGGAGCCCCAAGCCCGGGATACCCAGGTGTTCATTCAGTGATCAGGAGAGAATACAGACAACTCACCATGGAATTTGTGCTGGGCTGGGTTTTCCTTCTTGCTCTTTTAAAAGGTAATTTATGGAGAAAAAAATGAGTATGTGAGTGGATATGAGTGAGAGAAACATTGGGTATGTGACAGTTTCCTGACTGAGATGTCCTTTGTCTGCAGGTGTCCAGTGTGAGGTGCAGCTGGTGGAGTCTGGGGGAGACTTGATGAAGCCTGGGAAGTCCCTGAGACTCTCTTGTGCAGCCTCTGGATTCACCTTCAGTAGCTACAACATGTACTGGGTCCGTCAGGCTCCAGGGAAGGGGCTGCAGTGGGTTGCATGGATTAAATATGATGGAAGTAGCAAAAGCTATGCAGACTATGTGAAGGGTAAATTCACCATCTCCAGAGACAACAGCAAGAACACGCTGTATCTGCAGATGAACAGCCTGAGAGCAGAGGACACAGCCGTGTATTACTGTGTGAAAGACACAGTGAGGGGCCCTCAGTGTGAGCCAGGACAGAAACCTCCCTGTTGACACAGGATGTGCTGAGCTGCAGGAGCACTCAGGGCATCAGAGAGTGCTCAGGATCCACAGCAGAGATCAGACCCAGGAGCAGGTGCAGTGGGGTTGGGCTTCTTTGAGATCAGGGATTTCCTCTCTAGACGCTCAGCTGTCCACGGGGATATTTAATATTTTTTTTCTTCCATTTGTAATACCACATCTTCTCCGTGAAGCCAACCACAAGAATATAACTTTGCCTATGAATTATCAATTACCAATGAATTACAAATACCTCCATGTATGTCATCTGAACATTATAGTGGTCCCAGCTACTCTCTCTGTTAATTAGAGGACCACCCAGCCCAGTGTGCAAACTTGTCAAAACCAGTGTAAAGTGCATGCTGGATATGAGCCTACAGAGGCATCAACAATGTCAAGCAAGATAATTAACAGCCCTGGTACAGTCTCAATCTTGAACTATACTCACAGTATCAATGTTAATGACAACGTGGGAAAGAAGAGGAAACATGCACCAGGATGTTGTGTGGGTACAGAATGTGAAGATCACACACACACAAACACACACACACACACACACACACACACACACACACACACACACCAAAGTGAACATAAAACTCTTTTAAATTTTATTTTATTTTTTTCAGAGTTCCAAGATTCATTGTTTATGCGCCACGCCCAGTGCTCCATACAATGCATGCCCTCCTTAACACAGACCACCAGACTCATCCATCCCTGCACCCACTCCCTTCTAAAATACTCAGTTTGTTTCTCAGAGTACACAGATTTTCAGGGTTCATCTCTCCCTTTGATTTACCCCAATTCACTTTTCCTTTCCTTCTCCTAATGTCATCTGTGTTATTCCTAATGTTTCACAAGTAAGTGAAACCACATGATAATTGACTCTCTCTGCTTGACTTATTTCACTCAGCATAGTCTCCTCCAGTCCTGTCCATGTTGATACAAAAGTTGGGTATTCATCCTTTCTGATGGAGACATAATACTCCATTGTATATATGAACCATATCTTCTTTATCTATTCAGCTGTTGAAGGGCATCTTGGCTCTTTCCACAGTTCATTGACTGTGGACATTCCTGCTATGAACATTGGGGTACAAATGGCCCTTCTTTCACTACATCTGTATCTTTGTGGTAAATACCCAATAGTGCAATTACAGGGTCATAGGGAAGCTCTATTTTTAAATTCTTGAGGAATCTCCACTCTGTTTTCCAAAGTGGCTGCACCAACTTGCATTCCCACCAACAGTGTAAGAGGGTTCCCCTTTCTCCACATCCTCTCCAACACATGTTGTTTCTTGTCTGGTTAATTTTGGCCATTCTAACCGGAGTAAGGTGGTATCTCAATGTTGTTCTCATTTGAATCTCCCCTATAGCTAATGCGGATGAACAATTTTCATGTGTCTGATAGCCATTTGTATGTTTTCTTTGGGGAAATGTCTGTTCCTGTCTTCTGCTCATTTTTTTAAATGATTATCTGTTTTTTGTGTGTTGAGTTTGAGTAATTCTTTATAGATCTTGGGTATAAGCTCTTTTTCTGTAATGTATTTTGTGAATATCTTCTCCAATTCTGTGGTTTCCCTCTTTGTTTTGTTGACTGTTTTCCTTGCTGTGCAGAAGCTTTTGATCTTGATGAAGTCCCAAAAGTTCATTTTCGCTTTTGTTTCCTTTGCTTTTGGAGACGTTGTGAAAGCAGTTGCTGTGGCCAATGTCAAAGAGGTTACTGCCCATGTTCTCCTCTAGGATTTTGATAGATTCCTGCACACGTTGAGCTTATCTATGTGTATGGTGTAAGAGAATGGTATAATTTCATTCTTCTACACATAGCTGTCCAATTTTCCCAGCACCATTTATTGAAGAGACTGTCTTTTTTCCACTCTATATTTTTTCCTGTTTTGTCAAAGATTATTTGACCATAGAGTTGAGGGTCCATATCTGGGCTCTCTACTCTGTTCCACTGGTCTATGTGTCTGTTTTTGTGCCAGTCTCATGCTGTCTTGGTGATGACAGCTTTGTAGTAAAGCTTGAAATCAGGCAACGTGATGCCCCCAGCTTTGTTTTCCTTTTTCAACATTTCCTTTTTGATTCAGGATCTTTTCTGGTTCTACGTAAATTTTCAGATTATTATTCCAATCACTTTAAAAAATGTTGATGGTATTTAGATCAGGATGGCATTGAATGTATAGGTTGCTCTTGACAGCATATTATGACATAGACATATTATATGACATAGATATATTAATGATATTTAATCTTCTGAACCATGAGCATGAAATGTTTTTCTATCTTTTTCTGTCTTCTCCAATCTCTTTCATAAGTGTTCTGTAGTTCCATGAGTACAGATCCTTTACTTCTTTTGTTAGGTTTATACCAAGGTATCTTATGATCTTTGGTGCTATTGTAAATGGAATCGATTCTCTAATTTCTTTTTCCACAGGTTCATTGTTAGTTTATAAAAAAGCAACTGATTTCTGTGTATTGAGTTTGTGTCCAGCTACATTACTGAATTGCTCTATGAGTTCTAGCAGTTTGGGGGTGGATTCTTTTGGGTTTTCCACATAAAGTATCATGTCATCTGCGAAAAGAGAGAGCTTAACTCTTTGATCATATATTATTTCTTTTTGTTGTCTGATTGCTGTTGCTAGACTTCTAGTACTATGTTGAACAATAGTGGCTAGAGGGGGCAACCTTGTCATGTTCCTGATCTTAAGGGGAAAGTTCTCAGCTTTTCCCCATTGAGGATGACATTCGCTGTGGGTTTTTCACAGATGGAATTTATGAAATTGAAAAATGTTCCCTCTATTCCTACACTCTGAAGAGTTTTAATCAGGAAAGGATGCTGTATTTTACCAACTGCTATTTCTGCATCAATTGAGAGGAACATGTTGTTCTTCTCTCCTCTCTTACTAATTTTTTCTATCACATTGGCTGATTTGCAAGTGTCGAATAGATCTTGCAGCTCAGAGAAAATCCCACCTGGTTGTCATGGATAATCCTTTTAATGTACTATTGTATGTTATTAGCTAGGATCTTGTTAAGAATCTTGTCATCTATATTCATTAGGGATATTGGTCTGAAATTCTCCCCTTTATGGGGTCTTTGCCTGGTTTTGGACTCAAGGTAATGCTGGCCTCATAGAATGAGTCTGGAGCTTTTTCATCTGTTTTTATTTTTTTTTAAATGTTCAGGAGAATACTTATTATTTCTTCTTTGAATATTTGGTAGAATTCCCCACAGAAAACAGCATGTCCTGGACTCCTGTTTTTGGGAGGTTTATGATCATTGCTGCAATCTTGTTACTGGTTATTGATCTATTCATGTTTTCAATTTCTTCCTCTTTCAGTCTTGGAAGTTTATAGGTTGCCAGGAATGCAACCATTTCTTCTAGGTTGCTTAACTTATTGACATAAGCTGATGATAATAATTTCTGATGATTCTTTCTATTTCCTTGGTGTTAATCATTATCTCTCCCTTTTCATTCATAAGGTAATAATTTGGGTCTTTCCCTTTTCCTTTGGATAAGTCTGGCCTGTGTTTTATTTATCTTATTAATTCTTTCAATGAACCAGCTTCTACTTTCTTTGATATGTTCTGTGGTATTTCTGGTTTCTAATTCATTGATCTCTGCTCTAATCTTAATTGTTCCCCTTCCAGTGCATAGGCTAGGCTTAATTTGTTGTTGATTCTCCAGTTCCTTAAGGTGTAAATGTATTTGGTGTATTAACGATTTTTTTGGACTTATTTTTTTTTATTTTTTTTCAGCATAACAGTATTCCTTGTTTTTGCACCACACCCAGTGCTCCATGCAATCCCTGCCCTCTCTAATACCCGCCACCTGGTTCCCCCAACCTCCCACCCCCTTCCCCTTCAAAACCCTCAGATTGTTTTTCAGAGTCCATAGTCCCTCATGGTTTACCTCCCCTTCCAATTTCCTTCAACTCCCTTCTCCTCTCCATCTCCCCATGTCCTCCATGCTATTTGTTATGCTCCACAAATCAGTGAAACCACATGATAATTGACTCTCTCTGCTTGACTTATTTCACTCAGCATAATCGCTTCCAGTCCCGTCCATGCGGCTACAAAAGTTGGGTATTCATCTTTTCTGATGGAGGCATAATACTCCATAGTGTATATGGACCACATCTTCCTTATCCATTCATCCATTGAAGGGCATCTTTGTTCTTTCCACAGTTTGGCAACCGTGGCTATTGCTGCTATAAACATTGGGGTACAGATGGCCCTTCTTTTCACTACATCTGTATCTTTGTGATAAATACCCAGTAGTGCAATAGCAAGGTACTAGGGAAGCTCTATTTTTAATTTCTTGAGGAATCTCCACACTGTTCTCCAAAGTGGCTGCACCAACTTGCATTCCCACCAACAGTGGAAGAGGGTTCCCCTTTCTCCACATCCTCTCCAACACATGTTGTTTCCTATCTTGCTAATTTTGGCTATTCTAACTGGTGTAAGGTGGTATCTCAATGTGGTTTTCATTTGAATCTCCCTGATGGCTAGTGATGATGAACATTCTTTTCATGTGTCTGATAGCCATTTGTATGTCTTCATTGGAGAAGTGTCTGTTCATATCTTCTGCCCATTTATTGATATGATTGTCTGTTTTGTGTGTGTTGAGTTTGAGGAGTTCTTTATAGATCCTGGATATCAACCTTTTGTCTGTACTGTCATTTGCAAATATCTTCTCCCATTCCATAACAGCTTAAAACAATACCCACTTGTGATTTTACAGTTTCTATAGGCCAGGAGTCTGGGCCCAGCCTGACTGGGTCCTCTGTTCAGGGTCTCACCAAACTGCAGTCAAAGAGGCCTTTGGGCTGAGGCCACACCTGGAGCTCATTGTCCTGTCAAGCTCATTCAGATTGGTCAGAGCCTGTTCCGTGCAGTCGGTTGTAAGACTGACGCCCTCTGCTGCTGGGGGTGGCCCCTCCACAGACAGTCTGCCGCAAGGCTGTTGGGTGATAAGGCCGTCAGACAGG